ATCTTGGTGAGTTGGCCGAAGATAGGGACGGAAGAGGAACAACTAAGAGAGGAGAATAAATGGGAGGTTGTATGTGAGGTTGGCACCTTACAGGGAAGATGGAGGATGATAGGGATGGCTAAGAGAGGGAAGATTTATTGGCTGAGGGGGAAAATGAAAGGTCAGGTTACAAAGAGGTTGAGAAAGGAGAGGATGATGGAGAGGCTAGAACAGTGGAGTTGAGGGAAGAGGGAGACTTTTCCTACTGAAGGAAAAAAAATTTTGAAAATTCAAAAGTCAAAAGCAGGGTTTCTCTGGTTTTCACTCAAGGAAGGGGTGCGGCGGCTTATCTGTAGATGAGTTTAGGGTCGCTCAACTTTTTTCTTTTCTTTTCATTTTGCCATTTTTTTTGTATTTTGATTTTTTTTGAAAACGAGCAATATCAATATCGATTCAACAAAAAAATTAATGACACTGCTAGAAGAGTGGGGAGTGACTACCTGGGGACTCGTACAGCTAGAAACCTACTAGAATGGATAGATCGTCGACCCTTTCTTTGGTTAGCGGTGAGGCAAGCAGAGGTATAAGGAGAGGGAATAGGTCACATTAAGCATCGACTCCCTTCTTCTCTATTTCTTTTTGGGTCGATGGTGAGGCAAGCAAAGGACTATTGTTGAAAGGGAAATAGAGACTCCTCTACTAGTTTTTTTCAATCTTGGTGAGTTGGTCGAAGATAGGGATGGAAGAGGAACAACTGAGATAGGAGAATAAAAGGGGGTTGTATGTGGGGTTGGCACGTTGCAGGGAAGATGAAGGATGGTGGGGATGACTGAGAGAAGGAAGATTTATTGGCTATGTGCAGTTAACAAGATATATAATAAACTGATATAGATATGTGAAAATCATTAATTATAGACCTAAAATCATTATGAAAAACGATTCCTTATTAAAAGTTACATGCCCGGCTAAAAGGAGAAGAAGCTAAAAATTCAAAAGCCAAAAGCAGGGTTTCTCTGGTTTTCACTCAAAGAAGGGGTACAACGGTTTGTCTGTAGATGAGTTTAGGTTTAGGGTTTCTTTGTGTTTTTTTATTTTTTTCAAAATTGCCCCCTTCTTTGTATGTCGTGTAAATTGTTATTTATAGGAGAACGTTGACATGGTCATAAATACATTGGTCCCTTAACTTTTTTTCTTTTCTTTTTTTTTGCTATTTTTTTTAAAACGAGCAATATTAATATCAATTCAATAAGAAAAATTAATGACACTACTGGAAGAGTGGGGAGTGACTACCCGGTGACTCGTACAGTCAGAAATCCACTAGAACAGATAAATCATCGACCCCTTTTTTGGTTGGCAGTGAGGCAAGCAGAGGTATAAGGAGAGGAAACATGCCACATTAAGCATTAGCTCCCTTCTCCTCTATTTCTCTTTGGGTCAACGGTGAGGCAAGCAAAGGACTGTTGTTGAGAGGGAAATGAAGGCTCCTTTACCTGTTTTGTTTTTCAATCTTGGCGAGTTAGCCGAAGATAGGGATGGAAGAGGAACAACTGAGATAGGAGAATAAAGACGGGGTTGTATATGGGGTTGGCACGTTGTAGGGAAGATAGAGGATGATGGGGACGACTGAGAGAGGGAAGATCTATTGGCTGAGGGGGAAAATGAGGGGTTGGGACTGAGAGAAGGAAGATTTATTGGCTGAGGGGGAAAATGAGGGGTTGGGTTATAGAGAGGTTGAGAAAGGAGAGGACGATGGAGAGGCTGGAAGAGTGGAGTTGAGGGAAGAGGGAGACTTGTCCGGTTGAAGGGAGAAGAAGCTAAAATTCAAAAGCCCAAAGCAGGGTTTCTCTGGTTTTCACTCAAGGGAGGGGGGTGGTGGCTTATTTATAGATGAGTTTAGGTTCAGGGTTTTTTTGTGTTTTTCTATTTTTTCAAAATTACCCCCTTCTTTGTATGTCGTGTAAACTGTTATTTATAAGAGAAAGGTGGCATGGCCACAAATATGTTGGTCCCTCAACTTTTTTCTTTTTGCTTTTTTTTTTTGTATTTTGATATTTAAAAAAAAAAAGCAATATCAACGTCGATTTAATAAGAAAAATTAATGATTTTAAAAATAACGCGTTAAAGTTGAACGTGTTCAAAAGACCTTTGAAAATTTAAATTATTTTTTAGATAGCGCTGAAAATACTAAAAATGATGCAAATATATCTAGAACATATATTTTTTAGGTTTTCATTGTTTTTTGTTATTTTTAGAATTTTTAAAAACTTATAAAAAAGATGGGTAAAAAATTAGAAAGCAACATAAAAATTGCATTTTTTAGAACACCTGATATAAAACTTAGTTTTAGTTGACACGTAGTCTAATATGAAAATACACATTAGTGTATAAAAAAATAGTAATTTGTTTATGCAACGCCCAAACAAAAACCGTTGAATGGGACAAGAAATGGAGACAAACATAGTCAAGCGCACATTTTTACCTCTCGTAAAAAACAAAATCCCATAAAAACCCAATAACTTGAAGGCAAAATTGGTGGCTGAAAATAAGTAAAACGTGAACCTTTTGATGCAGTCGGGTTTATATAAAGTAAAGGTTTTAAGTATTTGGGTAAGAATTAGGCATAAATAGATGAGAATATAACCTAAACAAACTATATGGATGGTTTAAAAAAATATTATAGTAATGTTTTGGTTACTATATAGAAATAAATAGTAAAAAAAATTTAACTGACCTGAAGATTATATTTCTATATTTAACTAGTTAATTCAACAAATTTTTATTTTGTGTAATTTGATTACATAACATAATTATATTTTATTTAATCATATTAGCTTCTTTTTTTTTAAAGAAAAAAGGTTATGTTTAAGCTAGGATAAGGTCTAATCACGCTAAGTAGCATTTTAAAACTTTAATCACCTTAAATTAAGTTAGCATTTTAAAACCAAGTTAACAAGAAATTTAGTGATTTTATAGATAATTTTTCTATCGATGGTTTTCTAATATAATATCATAACCGTGATGATTGAAGCTTGTATAAAAAGAACAAATCGATCACATATGAAGAATGTAAGCTATAGAAAACAGGTTTGTATTTCTGTAGAATAAACTCCAGCAATAATAGTGCCTTCGATGATAGAATCCAAACCGAAGCCAACAATGTGTTTAGGGAGAACTTGGAAGTTCCAGACCGTCTTACATGAAAATAGATGCAGCATAAAAGAAGAAACAAGAGAAAAACCAAGCGTCCAACCCTACTTATCAACCCTGTCTTGATGACACAACTTCAGAATTTGGTGAGAGAGCATTCGCTTTGGAACCTGAAAGGATAGTAACAACGTCGGACATGCTAGGCCTGAGAGTAGGGGACAGTTTGATGCATTCCATGGCCAAATGCAGAAGAGTGAGAGCCTGCTTATTATCAAATCTGGATCCTAACTTCTTATCAACCAAATCCCGAATCCTTCCAGCTTCGTGTAAACGACCAGCCTGAAATTGCAAAACGTGATTTAACTTACAGCTTTAGAACAAGAATTGTCACTAGGGAGTATATAATCCTGCCAAAATTCACTTACAGTATCTAAAAGGAAGTCAGCTTCCTGGTTTGGAATATATTCAGTATTACTTCTCCCACTGACTATTTCAAGTACTACAACCCCGTAACTGTACACATCTGCTTTAACTGTTATGGCTTTCCCCAAAGCATGCTCAGGTGCCATATATACTCTGAAATAGTTTGAGAGATTAATTAATAGTTAGAGCTGAGGAGAACGATAAATCAGACTAAAACTTTTGGAGGATGTAATTTGATGCCTACCTTGATCCCCTTGCTTTGATGGCTGTAAATGGATCTTCCTCGTTGTAAATTGTTGCCAATCCGAAGTCTGATAACTTTGCGGTATGAGTATTATCAAGCAAAATGTTTTTGGCGTTTATATTCCCATGAACAATCTTGATCTTGATCCTTTTTTCTTCTTCTTCGTGTAGATACTTCAAACCTTTTGCTATTCCAAGGCAAATATCATATCTAGCTCTCCACTGAAGTTCTGTTGCAGAGTTTGAGATTTTTTGTTCTATAAATTCGAGGAATTTGTAACTGTTAATTTTCCTGCTTAAAAAAATTATGTAATTGACAAATATTATTTCATTCTCACTAGGCTAGACTATGTGAAATAATCTCAATCTAATAACTTAAACTCAAGATACGAAAACTTTAAGATTTGATTTATATTATTTTCTAAAACATCCGTTCAAGTAAAAGCTCATTAAAATTTATACAGATTCATATTACTTTGTATTTTATTTTTATCAAATAAATTAGGATAGTAAAATTCGAATTTGTGACTGTTTGGTCATCAAAACTCTAATACCATGTTAAAAAATCATTTCAATTCAATAATTTAAATTATTAAATAAAACTTTAAGATATAATTTATATTATTTTTTAATAAGCTAGTATAGTAAAAATATTACCAAACAAGGCTTGATGAAGGGAGCCAGATTCCATGTATTCATAAATTAGCAGATGCAGTTCTTTATTGGAATAGCCACCGAACAATTGAAGAAGATTCTCATGACTCAAGGACATCAGGTTGCCTATTTCACTTTTTATTTCATCTTTGTCTTGCTGTTTTGATTGGGGAGAAATCTTCTTCACGGCTAGTTTAATCTGATAGGGCAATTCAGCCTGCAAATTGATACTCAAAATATAAGATACATTTGTTTCATGGCAACTTCAAAAACTAACTGATTAGCAATAAACATAACCTTGTATACTACGCCGAAACGTCCTCTACCAATCTCCATTTTGGAGCTGAAATTTTTTGTACCATCTATTATCTGTTGCAGGGTGAAAGATCTTTTCTGGACTTCTATTCGTTTTTCTATTTGCAATGAAAAAACCATCAAAGAATTGAATTAACAGACACACTACCCAGTAAGAATCTTTCAAGCAATAAAACGCAAAATGGATTTAGATTGGCACATAGTCTCACCACGCAACTCTCTATTCCCGAGAAATCCCATTTTCCATATGAAAAGAAATAGAAGTAACGGGGGAAATGCACAACCTATGGTGATCCCGGCTATTTGAGAAGCAGACAGTTTCCCATTATGAACATCGAAGTCTGTATATAGAAGACATCAAGATGTAATTTTTTGGCAGATGTGAAGGGATAAAATATATTTGATCTGAAACAAAATTAAGAAAAAAGTGTTTTTTCTTTTTACTTGGAGTTACAGAAATGGCAGATACAAGAGGTCCATTGAGAGCAGGTGGGTTATCTAGAGATCCTTTGCCAGCCCAGAAAAAATGAATTTCCAATGGATGGTCATCCACAATTACAGGGAACTTTTCTATCCACGCTTCATTTGTACTTTTGGCCTTCTCTTTTATGTTGAAATCCTTCAGTTTCCTCTCACCCTGTAAAGAGAACGAGTACCTTACATGATGGAAATTGCTAGCACAATGAAGCTGTTGCGCAGAATAATTACCTGAATATATACATCGAAAATACGAGTCCCTAAGCTGCTATAGTCTTCGTCCTGCGTATAAACAGTTTCAGCAAAGTGAAGTTTCACCGTGTAATTTCCTTTATGCAGACAGAACCCGTAGTATATCAGAGAGACAGGTCAAAGCCGAGCTGTTTTATATAATGATTCTTCTGAAATAGAAACTCCACAGGCCATCTTTTTTACGTAATCGCTTGGATTGCTGGTTGTTGAGATGAAGTCTCCAGAACAAGAATAAGCCCACTTTCCTGGAATGCTGTAAAAATTTGTTGTTGCATTATCTTCATCGTATTGATTCCCTTCAGCAAGAGTTTGTGGACCACCGCAATTTATAAACAAGGAATGCTCTGCAAGAAACATTATTGCAAGTGGCTTTAATGTAAGTTAGAAAACGTAACTGAGTCTGAATGGCTCGGATTCTATAAAAATAATCGTAATGTAAACTCTATATGTAGACTTGGATTGAGATGAGACCGTCTCTGATAGGATAAATCCAAAATCGAAGATCCATATTAACATTCAGTGATTTGAATTCTTTCCACCTGCTATGTGCAGTTAACAAGATATATAATAAACTGACATAGATATGTGAAAATCATTAATTATAGACCTAAAATCATTATGAAAAACGATTCCTTATTAAAAGTTACATGCATAATAGAATCCAACAAGTAGATTCCTAAACTAAATAAATCCTTACAAATATTAATAATTAAATAAATATTATAATAAAAATAAGTATACCATAAAATAAAAAATGGTGTCCATGTCAATCCTCTATACTTGTAAAAAACTCGCTCTCAAGCTTGACCGTATCAAAAAAATGAATACTTCAAATATCGCATTGTAATTAGCCTATTCACAAACTAAACTTCTTTTAATGTCACTTCAACCCTATTAGTTTCTTCAACCTTTATACATAAAGGACTTTCAAGATAATTTTTCACGATATCTTCAACAGGCTTGTAAGAAATCACCATGCCCTTCAAGTTTTTGTTTGCGAGATCTCCAAAGTATCACAGTTTGCCACTATGTTCTCTAACTTAGTATTGAAAGATTGAAACTATTTCTTAGCTCCCTCTTCGACCATGTTGTCTTCAGTATAATATTAGGCTGACTTTGAATTTTCAAAACTAGATACTTTCGTTACTAATTCTTCTATTTGTACTGTCTCATGAACATCACCTTACAAATTAACTTTGAGACTAGTCTTTAGTAAGGAAAAAGCTTATGGGCTCGTCAGTATTTCTACTTCTTGAATCTAGTCTTCAATATTTTGAATCGTGATTTCAGTCCCACAATTAATAGTGTCTGATTGTGATTGTCTAACTTGAAAGATATTTTTTTTTTCAATGCTTCAGGATCTTGAGAACCAACACAAGATATTAATTTAATAGCTTCATTGATTTCTCTTTCACCATTGATAGTGAAATATTGATAAGAAAGTAATGTTTGCAGTGGTATTGTTGTTGTCACTACTGCGACATTGAAAATTTTTACCTTGAAAAGACAATGCCTCTTCCATTTTTTTCTCCTTGCTATTTGTGAAGGTTGAATAGAAGTAAAATAATAATGATCTAATTACTCATTTATCTAATATAAAAATATTTTTAATAATTATACCGGACAAATTCTATAATTAATGATTATCTCAAAGCTTCACATGATAGAATTACATGTTTGTTAGTGCCATTTCTATATTCTAAAACTTCAAACCACCATTCTTTAGGACCATAACAAAAATTATGCATGGGAAGTCATGCTTTTTTATAATAAGAAATGTCATTTAAACTTTCAACTTTGACAACCAGTTAATAAATCTCCTAAAAAAAAATTTCATCAAGGAAAGCTTCTACGAACAAGAATCTCTTAAAGAAAAAAAAAAGAATTTCATCAAGGAAAGCTTCTACGAACAAGATGACTACAAATCAAGTCTTTAGAGTTTCACCTACAGTAAACATCATTGTCCATATAAATATGATGCCTATATGAGTTTTCATGAATAGATCTAGGGTTTGATTCACCCCTAATTAAGCCTACAATCACATCTCTCTTGTTGTTATGATTTCTATCTACACCTTCCCCTAGTAATGTTAGATGGTTCAAGCATTTTATAATTTATTTTAATGAAAGCTCCACTTGATCTAGTTTCTGCAATTGGTTTTTTTATATTGCCTCATACGCCCTCATAGTGTCCCAAATGGCTTCCACTCCTACACTACAAAATGGGTTATTATCATTTTTGTCCATCAAAAGAACTAACCTACTCTAATACCAATTGACGAGGCTTCCATCACTAGTCTTAACAAAGAGAAAACTCTAATATTTTCTTTAAAGTTTGTAATTCAATAATCTTCCAAGGAAAAAAGCTATACATCCTTATTTATATTAGTTCTAAATCTAAAATCTTTATAAGAAAAAAAAATTCTTTATTAAAAGTTATATAGCTAATAAAATACAACTAGTATTAGAAATGTAACTAGATTTATAAAAATTAAAGATTTTAAATATTTGGATGAGAATATGATACCGCTAAATAAAGATCTAACTTGATAAGGTTACAGATGCCTAACATATGTTTTTATGGGCTAATACAGTAAGTCTAAATCTAGAAAAAAAATCTAGATATACTAGACCAGATTAAAACCTTGAAATTAGAAAAATAAAAGATTAAATTTGGCTCAAATATTTCAAGGTGATTCAAGAGACAGTTTTCCTATGGGAAGTCATTGCATCACTTACTGAACATTGAATCTTTCAAAATCATGTTTCAGGTCCACATGCTGCTGCTTGGGCTCATTTTATTATTTTATTAATTTTTATTTTTCTTCCTTAATGCCTTTGAATGTTTAGTTATTTTCGGGTTTTCTAACCTATTTAAATACTTTGTAAATCTCTTAAAAGAGATATTCATCATATATTTTATTTTTTAAGGATTTGCTCATTCGACGTGGTGGCGCAAAACCAAAAATAGAAGGCGCGGCGCATCTCCCTGCCATGGGCAGTAGTCGTTTTCATGCAATATCAGTATCCGATCATAAGACCCATGGAGTAATAAAAGGAGACTGAAAAGCAATAAAAAGAAGATGCTTTTCTTTTTTGATAAAAGAAAAAAATTGTGAATTTAGGGTTCCCGCTCATTCAATTATCCATGCTTTCTTTTGTCTATTAGCTTCCACCCGCATTTATTAGGATTCCTAAATCTTGTAAATGTTAACAATTAAATAAATATTATAAAAAAAAGCATGCCATAAAATAAAAAATAGTGTCCTGCGTCAAATAGACTTACTGAACTTACGTTTTGATTTACATTGGTTGCTCAACGCAAGTATAGAACCCCTAGAAAGAAGAACTGACGTGTTAGAAATAACTAATTTATGCATAATTACATCAATACAGTGCAGAACATATCGGCATACCTATTTGGTTCAGTCCTAGTTGAGCAGCAGCATGCAAACAAGTGTACAGAAAATAAGAAGATATACAAATCCACAAGAAGTTGATATTGAAATGCAATGAAATACCCTAAGGGAACAAAAAATAAACTCCTTACATGTTTAGTTTTTGTTTGTTCTTGTATTTTGTTGAATTATGGTACTGTGGATTTGTGAAGTTATAATTATACGACAGATCCCTGCAACATAATATTTTATTTGAGAAGAGGCCTTTTTCATTTATTTTATTGGACAAAAGAAATTGAATAGCTTCCTCTAAAATTATATTACAGAGTAACAGGAAACTTACACCTTATACATTTCACGAATCCAGGAAGGAATTGGCCCACTAAGCATATTGCTTGCGAGACCCCTGTTTATAATCCACAAATTGTAAATATATCGACTTTTTAATGGATTCAAAACAAAAAAAATTATGATGAGTTCGATTTGCTTGAGTTGAAGAAATTCTTCACTTACAACAAACAAAAAAATAAAATTATGATGAGTTCGATTTGCTTGAGTTGAAGAAATTCTTCACTTACAATCTATTAAGAAATAGATTTTTCATAGACCGTGGGATCCGACCACTTAAGTTGTTAAAGCTCAAGTCTCTGCAACAAAACCATCAAAGTCTTTTAGTTTTTTTTAAAAAAAGAAAACAGAAAACTAAAAAAAATGCATCTATTTATTGAAGATAAAAATTGTTTTTTTTTTCAAACATGTATTTTCTATTTCTCAACTTTTTTATAAAATTAAAAAAATCAAAATAATTGTTTTTCAAATTCTCATGGGTTTAATTTGTTTGTTTCACCAAATATTTTGAAGTCATTTCTTTTATAACTTTCAATCTAAGTCAAACAAGCTCCTTGTTTTCTATTTTGAAAATTGTATGTTTAATTAAAAAAATTATTTTTTTATTAAAAAGATATTTTAGAATAAATAAGAATATTATATATATAAAAAATTATTTTCTAAAAGCATACACAACCTAATTATCTAGAAATTTGATCTATGTACATTAGATATATTTGAAATAGAGAGATCTCAACAGGTTGGCCCGGTAGTTTAGGAAGTACGCTCTTCTTTTGACATCCTGAGTTCAATTCTTAATACCATTAAACAATACTTTTCTTATTAGAAAGTAGTTTTTATGAATTAGAAAGTAAATTAATTTTTATATTTTACAGTGTTATAAAAAATAAAGTGAAAAATATTTTTTGATATGTGACTATATCATAAAAAATAAATTGAAAAATAACTTTTTAATTTTTTTTAAAGTTTATTTAAAAAATGAGGATTAAATCTAATAAATAAAAAAGTTAAAAGATGATGAAATTGAAAAAAAAATTAATTTCATAAATTATTTCAAATAAAATAATAGCAATCTAATGAATGAGGGTTAAATATGACAGATAAAAAATTTTAACGTTGATGAAATTAAAAAAAATATTTCAGAAATTATTTTAAATAAAATAAATAATAAAAAAAATAAGGATCAAAGTTGATATAAAAAACAAATTAAATTAAATTCTAAAAGATAAAATTGAAAAGACATAAAAAAATGATTCAAAACAAAATATATTGTAATTAAAATATTATGAACCCAATTTGATATAATTTATAAATAATATAATATTTTTATTTTTTATAACATCTAAAAAGTATATTTTATTCATAATAAAACTCTTTTGTAGAAAACAAGCTAAATTTTTTTTTATTTAAAAGTATTTTTTATTTATCAATTTTTTTTAATAATAAACAAACATGAAAAAAATTAAAAAATAATTTTTAATAAATTACTTTTCATAAATAAACAGCATTCTTACCTTCAGTTCCATTAATTTATTTACCATCTAGTGTAACACATTATAAATAGCAAAATAACCAACTAGAAATGATAACCAAGTCCACTCACCATTCAAGCTTGTTAACTCTTAGAATTAATTAAGAACCTCAAAGAGTGGTCTAACCCATGGAGTCCAAAGAAAATAAAAGGACCAGAAACAAGAGCTTTGAAGAAGATGGGATTAATCCAAATAAATGTTAAAGAGTCGAGCCCAACAAGAAACTCACTAAACCTAACTTATCTTAAAAGACACCTTCAGAGATCGAGGATTGCCCATGAGTTTGTAAGTAAATTGATATTGTTGTAATTATTCTATGTGGGTTCCAACAAACTATATATAAGATATGCATAAATTTTTTTTCCTTAAATGGTAGGATTAGAGTTGTAAGGCTTACATATTTGTATCATTTCTTGTAATTGTAGGATTATTACGATTGCACAACCCTCTTGGTGGGATCGTCTGGCGAAGCATGGACTAAATTATTGGGTGAACAAGTTAGAAATATGATGAGATTTTATGCGTGTTCTAAACTTAGATTTTAGAAAGGCAAGGGACTCAGATAAAAACATGTCTAAAAATTAAGGGACTAAAAATAATTTTTCATAAAACTAAATTGGGAGACTATGATCCCCTTGACTTCTACATGGGATACTGAACTTATTGATCCTACTAAATTAAAAAGACTAATTTTGAGGAATGTAACTTAATTGATCAAATTTTAAAATTATTTTTTAAAATTATTTTTTAAAGATTAGTAATTTAAGTTTTACAAATCTTAAAATTATTGAAAATTTATATAGTTATTAACTTTAAAATCCGTAAAAATAATTAAAATATACATAATTAAACCCGAATATTTATATTAATAAACAAATATTAAAAAGACTAACCGGTATTGAAATACAAGGAAAAAGAAAGAAGCTTACAGGTGCATTAATGATGTCCAATTATCACCAATGTATTTGGGGATTCGACCGCCGAGTGAGCAATTCCTCATAATCCTGTGGAAACCATTGCATAAGTTGGAAATTGAATTTATCTATTATTGTGCATGTGAAAATATTATGTGTAGAGTGTAATAGTCATGCCAAGAAGGTATTTTTGGGATTATAAAGTTTCAACCCTTGATTACAGTCATTATCATCAGCATAAAACAGATCACTCACAGGTAATTTATGCTTGTCATATTTGCAAACTTTGGGAATGAGAAACCAGTGTTGTTAAGATCACTTATCCACCTGGAGGGGTAAAAGAGAGAAACACTTTGTTAGGGACAATTTTGGGAAAGAAAAGAATGCTTGCTTCTTTCACTGATGTGAATTTGAAAGTTGGAATCTTCAACAAAACTATTTTTTTATGAATTTATCAGCCTGAATGTGAGAAATATTCACAATATTCTACCACAAAAGGTCTGTCTCAGTATACAAAAGCAAAGTCAAACAAGAAATATAGGACAGAAATGATAAATATAAAAGAGACGTAAATGTGTTTGGTTAAAAATATAAATATATAAAAATAAATATATTTTAAAATTTAAAATAAATGAAAAAATGTCACATTTATTTTTATTGTTTTTTTTTTATCCCGAGGTACTAACCATAACTGAAAGCTACCAAAAAGTATTCTTTATCTCTGTAAGACAAAAACCTACATCGAAGGAGGTAAAAGAGATAGGAGCACCAGCACTTACAAAGATTGAAGACCGGGCATATTAAAGATTTCAGGAGGAAGCTCCCCTTCAAAATCATTTCCCATGAGGTACCTGTCATTAGCAAACTCAATTTGCTGACTTATCTGAAGCACTAAACTCAAAACATGTCTGCTTTCGATACTTGCAAACTTCACGACTTAAGAAAGTCCAAAACCACAAAGAAGGGTTTCTACGAATTCCCTTTTCTAAATGAACATTGAATTTTAATGAAGCAGTAATACTCTTACAGGTCAGTGAGGTTGGTCCATTTTGCAATGAATAGTGGTATCTTACCACTCAACTTGTTCCCAGCAACTCTACTGCGAAGACCAGTTAAGTTTCCATTAACAACAAACAACGCACCATGGATACAAATTGAGCCTTCAAAACATGAATTATGAATAGTTTCACTTACAATAAAACCAGAGATCTAAGATTGGCAAAACTTCCTGGCAACCCTCCACTCAAATTGTTGGAGTTCAAATAACTGCAACAACGAAATGACTCCTGATTTTCTTTCAATGTTTTCAATTTTAAACATTGGATGTATTGATGGAAAAAAAGTAAACAAGTATTCTTTTAAAGTACCCATTAAATGTATTTATTAGACTTCATTTATATATTATTTTAATTGCATTAAGAAAATGAAACTCAAATATTAAAATAAAAATAATTGTTATTTTATATAATAATGTTCTTAATGGTGAAAAACTTGTTTAAAACATGGTTAATGTATACATTTAAACAAAAAAATTAAAAGTAGAGTTCACTTAATTTTGCAGTTAAAACATTGTAAGAATTTAATCTTTAATAAAATCTCATCTTTAACATTTTTACTTTAATATAGTTTAAATAAATTGTAGGTGAATAAAAATCTAATTTGAATCTTTAAGTGGCATGTTTTGAAAAAACTCAAAACTCTTAAAAAAAAAATTAACTACTTACAGTTCTTCAAGCTTGCTCAATTTTCCAAGTTCTGGTGGGAGATAACCAGAGAGTTGATTATCTTCCAATCTCCTAATTAAATCACGGAAATGAGGGGATTAATACAGAGCAGAAATGAAATAATAATACAAGATGAATTAAAGGGAATCGGGCAGAGTGAATTAAGAATATTTACAGTGAAGTGAGATTTAAGAGGGTGCCCAATTCCTTAGGGATTTGACCTGATAACATATTATTACTCAAAGACCTGCAAAAAAAAAAAAAAAAAGAGCCCCGGAATTGCAAGATCATGAAAATATATTCCAACAACTAAAACCGTCTTTGGGTCGTAAGTAACTGAAGAAACAATGATGGCGGTTTTACTTACAGGGTAGTAAGGTTCATCAAATTCCCTAAAGAGGGAGGTATGGTTTCATTCAGGAAGTTCTTTTGCAGATCACTATTGTCAGTAAACAGGAAAGTTATAATTAAGCATCCCTATTGAGCCTGAACAAGTAAATTAAAAGAGTAGACAAATTATAATAAGATTGCTTACAGCATTTCCAGAGCTTTCAGCTTCCCCAAGGTAGGTGGAATTGGCCCAGATAGGTGATTTTGTCCAAGTTTTCTGATCATATTTTGTAGTTTGTTTTTTACAATCACAAAAATGAGGGGAAAAAACAAAACAAATTGAGGCTGACAGCTTAAAGTACAATGCTTGAGGACTTACAAACTCGTTAGCCGAGTTAAGTTCACCAAGTTTGGAATGCTACCACGAAGCTGATTCTGGGAAAGATCACTGTTGGGGTAATTAAGTCCATCAGAGGCATGATATAATGGAATCCTTCAAATCTCAAATTTATTTGGGAGAAAGATTACCCTAATATAATGGTATCGGATTCACACCCATCTCGAGGAGAAAATTCTATGAATTGATCAAATGAATTCTTTTTTTATTTTTATTTTTTTTAGAGATAACATAACCGTAACAAAACCATAGTAATTTTATAAATAACAAATTCCATGTAAACTGTAGACTTGCCCAATATGATTCAACATTTGGTACTATCATTCATGGAGGGCAATTCAAGCAAACATTGCGATTCAATTGGTTCTAATTAGAAGTTTAAGAAGAGGTTTGGATTTGGTAGAATGATAACCCTAACAAAAAGTTTATACTTTTTTATTTAACATTTGAATCATACTTAATTTGGTGAAGAAGTTCAAAGGCATAACTGTAACCAATCGAGATTCAAAAGGACTTCTTTTAAGGCCTATAAAATATTGTCCAAGTTAATTTTATTATTTATTCTTTTTAGTTTGGGATTTTCTAATTTATTTAAAACTTTCTATTGCCTCTCGATTAGGACACTTGTGTAGATTTTTTTAGGATTATTTAAAAAGTCACAAGTCTGTCTTTTAGATGGCTTGAATACTGGAAGAAAAAATATTCAATAATAAAATTTTAAATTAATATTTTTATATAGTAATTATATTATAATCGATGAAATTACATATTCTTCTTGTTTTATTTTCATCTGTGCCACGTTGCCTTTATATATTATGACATGTAATAATAAAAAAAATCTGATTCACTCAAATTTTTTTCATAAAGCTAGGCTACACCTCTAGGGATTTCAACTTATTAAATATGTTAAGAGAAAAATTAATCTGCTTTCCATTATATGTTAGACAAGCCCCTTCCACCGCTAGGCCAATCTCTGAAATGCCATATTGGTCTTGTTTTATTTTCATCAGTGCCCCGTTGCCTTTATATATTATGACATGTAATAATAAAAAAAATCTGATTCACTCAAATTTTTTTCATAAAGCTAGGCTACACCTCTAGGGATTTCAACTTATTAAATATGTTAAGAGAAAAATTAATCTGCTTTCCATTATATGTTTATATAAAAAATTCAACATTTTGCTGGTAAAAAAGATAGTTATTTTGCACCATATGTTTTCATTTCAGCCAATTTCACGTGAATTAGACTCGATGTAGGTCAATTCAATTAAGTAATAGAGCACAAAAGCTAATGCCAAAAGAATACATAGATAGATATGTCGTTATATTATTTAGCGACATTTTGCAAATAGTTGGGGAAATAATTAATTGTGGTATTTTTATCTTGAATACTTGTCAGGTGTTGAAGAAAATAATTTGTGCATGGACCTTTTAGATCAATACCAAGAGGCTTACATCTTCTTCAGGTAAATGAGTTTCGATAGCCACTCATGGACGTGTCCACTTACGCTTATGCTGTACGTAGCTCTGCCAGCCAAAAATTAACTAAGTTAAAAGCTTAAATTGGAAATGATTACCTGATATAATGTGTGATGCGTGCCCTATATTATGTATTAATCGTTTAGGTGGTGGCCAAGTGGTAAGGACTTGGGATTAAGGGATTTGTTCCCTCTGTGATCTCAGGTTTGAATCCTTGGTTGCTCATATGATAGCCACCGGAGATTTACATGATCATTAATTTTAGGACCCGTAGAATTAGTCATGGTGCACGAAAACTGGCCCAGATATCCATATTAATCTAAAAAAAGTTTGGGAAATATTTACATAGCGTGTGATGCGTGCCCTATATTATGTATTAAGTTTGGGAAATATTTACATAGTGGTGATGTGACAAATGGTAGTGGTAGCATCGCAGTCGCAGGTGGTGGAAATGCTGTTGTAATAGAAGCTCTTCTCCGAGCAGTAAGAACGTGAAATTTGGGGCACTGGCAACCCCAATGCTGATATGACTGCTTTCAGAGCATACACTGCAAATATTTAACAAATAATTAATTTAAGTTGAAGAAGAAGCCATTTTAAGTTTTTATATGTATTCTATGCGCAACACTATTATCATGCAAGTCATCTGAATATATAAATGAGTGAGATAAGTAACAATTTTAGTCTTCATCGATAAGTGAAAAATTGTTATTTTTTAATAAGATTAACGACCCCAATGCAAGAGTGTGTACGTTTGTGTTTTTTCAATGAAAATATATTGAATTTTTTTAATTTTTAATATTAGTATTTTAAAGTCATTTAAAAACATATTAAATTAATGTTTTTCTAAGAAAAAAACTAAAAAAGTAATTTGAAAATTAATTTGTAATGCAAAAACAAACACTCATTATAATACATCTATGTACAAAATCCATGTATATTAAGTAAATCAAGTAACAATACAAAATAAAGCAAAATAAAAAAGCAAGTCAAGTCCTTGACCAAGTATACTACTAGCTACTACTAGAAAAAATTACTTGAATGTTGAGAGTTGTCCCACAAGCTTCATGTGTTAATTTAACGAAATCAACCAATTAACTTGCAAAAAAAAAACTCCTTATTTTCTGATTAAGTTTTTGATAATTAAAAAAAATAACAGCTTACTTTTTATTTGCTATAATGAAAAAAAAAAGTATAACTAAATTATTATCACCTTCATCACAAGGCAAACCCCCATCTGCACTACAATTGAAATTTTGATCTGCACAAGCATAATAGGATGCTCCTCGACGAGAACAAGGAACATTGTTCCTTTGGAGCGCCCCGTAACTCACATATGAAGTCCTAGCACTGAATACAGAACCATGCTGACAAAGAAGAAGAAGGAGGAGGAAGGGGAGAGCAGGAGGAATATGCATTTTATTTT